AACGGCCCTGCCGGCCCAACGGCCCGGCCGGCGCGTGCCTGCCCGGGCTTTGGTCAGGCTCTTTTCAGTATCCTCATAGGAACTCCCCTCAAGTACAGCGCAGCACAGACTTAGAAGTGTATGTTGCATTGAACTGCAGTGCAAATGCGAGAAAAAGGATGTTTGAAAACTGTGGTTATAAGTCTGTACTGCGCTCTACTTGAGGGGAGTTCCTATGAGGATACTCAGCCGAGCCTGAACAAAGCGATCTTGGGCAACAGAAGCAAAGACGGAGTCGTGTTAACAGGCTGGATATCCAGTATTTAGAATCCTTAGGTACATAGTTCGTGTTAAAGCCTAGTATTTGTGAATCTGTTCAGCTAGGCTGGTCAGTCCAGGGGGCAAACATGACTAGACACTGAAGCCCCTGTCAAATGTTGTTTGTGTACCTTTTGCAAAATTACAAATGCTGTTTTGGTTGCATACGAGTTCTCATTTGTGGCCGTTAACTAGAGCCTCTGTAAGCACAGACAATACTTAAAATAATTTTTCTTCCCTGTAAAAATATGTACAAAATACCCTCCATATTGTTTCAGTTCCAGTATTGTCTCAATTTTTAATATAATTATCTAGCAAATTTCACCTTGTAAAATGCTAGCTTTAAGAATGTTTTCACCTCATACAATTTTGTTATTAAAATCTATTCCCATTACTATTTTTTAACATTTGATTATATCAAATATCAAGGCTACAGTGACATCTTGTGGCATTTAACTGCAGGAAAAGAAGCAATTTTATTGTAGTCCTGTTGCATCACCTTAAGGCTATAACCTGTTTTTTTCAACAAGCATTTTTAAATATCTTTCAGATACCATTTTTAAAATACTGTGTTGCATAAACATAAACTGTTTCTACAGAACATTGAGAAGTGCTGATAAATCTGTTTAGACTCCTAAAATTGGATTTCCAAATGACATCTAGACAATTTCTTATTTAAAAAACCACACATTATTTTGTTAAAAATACGAACTCTCAGTAATGGATTTTGCTAAAGGATCTTAAAGACACTTTTATAACCAAAGGATAAAAAGTTACCAGCTTTTAAAAAAAAAACACACCAAAACAAACCCAAATAAAGTCCTTTTGGTTCCCAAACACAATGAATTATGGCTACAGCTGAGGTCTTATCTTTTAATTTTCTTTGCTATCTAACTGCTTAGGGCTGTGTTTTTTGATGGCTTTCTTTCCTCATAAGTGGCCATACCTGAGTTAAGTGCGTGTATATGCCAACAAGTACATGTTTTTTAAAAGTTAAATCTTGGTGCTGCTCATCTGTAAGCAAACTGTGAGCTTACTCCAGACATTTAACACTGAAAAACTTGGTGAATAATCTGAAAATAATCACAAATGTGTTTTATGTATTTTATTTGACAATTGTACAAATTAAATTTACCAGTATTATAAAAGCTTGTTCTATTAATTCTGTCACTGATACAGAACAACAAAAAAACAAACCAAAAACAACTGTCCCTTTAACAAAGAACCCAATACTAAGATGTGGCTGAGGTGACAGTTCATTTCACATTTTAAAAGTAAGGTAAACAACATCTGTGAGTCTTCACAATTCTAGCTGATACCACACAGAACAGGAATTACAGACCAGTAAGTGAACGAAATGCAGTAAGCTGCCACTGGGAAAGTTGCATTTCTGGAAAGATCATAGACCTGTTTGTATACTACTTATCACTACAGCACAATAAATAAATTCCACTTTTCATTATTAGAACAAAATTAAGCAGACTTTACATTGCCATGTTCAGATTTTGCCCTTAAAATATTACAAAAATACTAGGAAGACCTCACTGAACATAAACCAAATCCTGTAACATTGACTGAACAAGGCAAAAGAAGCCTCTGTTCGCTCAAAGACTCACTGTCAAACCCTGACACTCGCACCCAGAATCAGCCCTGCTGTGAAGAACTTCTCACATTTTTCACCCGACTTCTTACAAAAAAATGGTAAAATTACACACCATGTGTGCAGATGCTGTTTGTGTTCTAGGTATGAGCTGTTATTTATTGTCCATAGATACCCTTGAACTAAGAGTCAATTAAAAGCTAATGCAGATGAAACTAAATTACTTCGGATGCCAGATTTTATTTCTCTCTTGTGATCACTCTTTTCTTCTTTTGTCCATACTACAAAAAAAGTATTCTGTAACTTCAATGGAAAAGGTTTGTCTGGTCTATGCTAACATTTCCAGAACTAGAGTCCTAATCTAACAAAAGCTGTTAATAACAGCTCTGTTTCTTGCTATGATGAAGCCAGGCAATTCAGAGACTGATAGTAGTTCAGGCCTGTCAAATATCCCCTGTACCTTAAAATACTTCATAATGCTTTACCCATCACTGGACGTTTTAATTCTGTTATCATAGCCACCAAAAACAGAGATGAAAGGAACCAAATACTCATTTGAAAGAGCAGTTAAAAAAAACCCATAGACCTGAGATATTACAAAATTTACACTCTGTAATAAATGTAGGAACAGTGTGCTTTTAGGATTGTAAATGTATTTTTTTTTAAGTGAGGATTTTCTTGGGCTCATTTTTGTAACAATGTACATGCTAAATATCAAAATAAGTCAAGTACTAAAGAGACTGTAAGTAATACCCCATCCATTTCTTCTGACTGGTTCTGTAAGTTTTATATTTCATGTATTCATGTTTCACACATTTCCAACGGCTAGGTTTTACCTTTCAGCCGCTTGCAGTGTTTCAGCAACTCTAGGCAAATTAATAATACGGAAAGAAGCCACATCAGAGATAATTTTACACTGTCTCAGCAGCAGTAGATACTGTAGGCAATGGTTTTAGGACTGAGATGAAGGTGAGGCACTCTCTTCTGCCTTGCTTTCATAGCAGCTTCTAGAACATCTCAGAATACAGAACAGCATATATACAAACTTAAAAAGGGGTTTTGTAGAGGAGTCCAGAAGTTTGGCCAACAGTTTACTGTAGCCTTTCTATAGTTTGTACTGGGAACTGAGTAGGAGGAGGTGAGGAGAGGAGGGGGAAGGCAAGGAAGCATCTCAACATCAACTATCAAAAATATGTCTAGACCGCATTTGACTAGATACATACATTAAAAAAAAATATATAAAAAATATATAAGCACAGAAGGGTAGGAGTGCATTTTTGTCTGCACGTTTCTTAAGAACTGTCCTAATTAATTGTAATAGCTTTTCTGGTTTCCAGGAAAGAGGATTATTTGTCACAGATAACTATTAGTGTATATTATTTAAGGTTTCTCCAAACTTACCTTGGATAATAAGTAAGAAAGGGAAAAATACATAAAAAACTATATGAAAAAAATTCAGAGGCTATAAATTAAGGATGGCAAAGATGCAGTAATTATACCTTCTCTCCTTGAACTCAGTACAATTCACTGAGTATTCTTTAACATCTAACCCCTTAAATTCATTGGCTTATATTTTGGTTTTGTGATTTGCATAATTAGGAAAACCAAACTGAGAAATCATGATATTAGAATATTTTAAAGGCATGCCATCATAAATATTAACCAGTTTATTTACACAGTAAGATCTCTGTAACAAATGCTCTGCTCGGTGCCACATTCCAGAATAGCCACTGTTACTGTCTTTTTCTAAATTTCTTACATCAACAGGTTTCACAAACACTCCTGAAGGCTTTCCAGTATGCTTGGCTACCAGAAAATTCATGGCAATATCATCACAATTTTGAGTTTCATCTATTAAGGCATAAACAGCTTCTGGCTGCCTTTGAAAGTCTTCTAAATACCCACTATGAAAAAATGCTGCACCAATAAGAACCATTGAATACTGATCTCCATTTCCAAATCCAGGGTTCTGCAATTCAAAGCTGCCGTAACTGTATACACCGGAAGGAGTAGAAATGTGCTTTCTAGGAACAAATCCCACTATATGATCTGGAAATTGCTAAAAGAAAAAAGAAATTTAAAAAATCAAAATGAAGCCCACACAGTGAAATGTGCATCAAGTACTTTCATAACTTATATTTATGCTTTTTTAAATGAAAGAGGCACAACAAAATCTGCATAAATGTTGCAATTAAATACTTTCGCAAAACTGACACAATATGCCTCATTCCACATCACATAGTGCCAAGAAACATCTATCCATAATTTACAGCTGTATACTTGGCATTCAAAGTTTACAGAAACTTGTTTTGTAGCCTACTATCCGTTTAAATAGTCAGCAACTTCAGTGCTCATGTACAAGATGAGTTAAAAATTTAAAAGTTAGAGATTACATATATATCTACTACTGAAGAATAGTTTTGCAATTTCTACTATGCAACTCTTCTGTCCTTCTGAAATGTGACCTTAGAGGTAGAAAATCAATGGTAAAACATTATGATACATTACTCTAATTAAAAACACTTAATCCCAGTTGTGACTCACAAATACTGCCTGCCAAGGTGCAAAAGATTACCTGCCAAACAGAAAAGGCAAAAGCAAGGTCATGAGCACTGACAAGTGTATCATCGTCCATCATTAAAACAGCTGAAGGGAGGAAAAAAAGAGAAAAATTTGTAACTTTTCAGAAGACTAAATACATGAGCACAGCATGCAGCACAGGATTTTACAAATTAGCTGTGAAACTTTGAAACTATTAAGCTGAATTGTAGAACTGAACTGTAACTTCTTGAAAGTAGTTTGAGAAAATATATTTAGATTTCAAAGCTAAAGCAAGGTTGCAGCTTTGTGGTAAGTTGAAGCAAACCTAAGCCAGGCTGTAACAAAACTCGGCAAACGTGATCATTTGTAAGACAGTTGGGCAGAGAGGTGTTTTTATGAGTGTTTGGCAAAGCAACTTAAAATTCTACTATTGTATAAAAATACAAGTAAAATAAAGAGTAAGATAGCATTCATTAGTGGATGAGATTTAAAAGAAATGCACCCAGATGCATCAAAGCTTTTTACATTTACAATCAGCATAAATCCTACTGGAGTAAATAAAACACTTGGGAAGTTTACATTTCATAGGGTCTTCCTAGAAGTCATGGGTTTTGAGTAGCAAGGCATGTTAGGAAGGGGGCATTAAAGAGAATTACTTTCACTAATCATGAGTAAGGTCAGGTCTGTAATGCAACATATGGGGGTTTTTTCCATATGAAACAAACAGGATTTATTGTTATGCTTCTTCTGGGAAGAGCTTAGGGAGAATATTTAGATGAACAGCCAAAAGACTAGGGAAAATACTCCTAAAAAGGATCCATAATTTGAGATAGAAAGCCAGACAGCTAGGGAGCGAACTTTCTCTGAACATGCTTTAGAACTTGAGTCTTTTAAATTAATGGCTTAAATCAAGTCTTTGCCAGATAATTTAAGACCAAATTAATGCAGAGACTCACCATGTACAAGCACTATGAATTTCAGCTTACACTATGAAGGGAAAAGAGGCTGAAATACCTGTGTTTGCCTGACAAAGAAAGTGGGGAACAGACACAATAGCAAAAGCCCATTAAATGCATTTGACATCCCTCTTGTTTTCCTTACTCTTCACTGACAGCCTCTAGACTGCTGGTGGTAGTTGCGGTGTGCATCTGGTATCACAGACTTATTCTACATTACCCGCAACCTATTAAGTGGTCCAACAGATCCATGGATTTATTACATAGTATAACTCAAACCAGCTCTGTTTTAGCATTCAGATTTTAAGTGTCAGAATAGTATGAGTAGTGGCAATATGAACTGCTGATTACCTTTTGTTTCCAGCTCAGGGAAATTCTGGAGTCTGTTTCTCATGCGATTTACAGTTTGAACTTTAAAGACAACAGGGACAGGATGAGGCCCCAAGGAATTCCACATTTCCTCTGGTGTCTTCTCACCAATGTTATTCCATACTACAATTACTTTATGTAAGTGGGGGATGGCTTGATAATGATTTAAAAGCTTTAGCAGTAAGTCAGTTCTGTTGTATGTCTGCATAATAAGAGTAAATGAATCCAAGGCAGACTGACTCTGGATTTTTGGTTCCCTTCTCAAATTGGGCATTTTCTCATCTTTGATAGTGGGAAGCAAAGCCGTTAAAGCACCTGCCACAAGAAGTAAGACAATGATCACCACAGAAGTGAAGCGCAGTAGGCGGATTCCCATAACTCTTCCTGGAAGCTTACAGAAGTGAAAATACCTTTAAAACAAGTAACAGGAAATGAAAAGTGATTAATACTAGGTATAGTAATCTCCCTTATTTCAGCAAAACTCACACAATATTAAGTAGACTTTTGTTTAAGTAAATAACTAAGGTGGATTTTAGGATTTGGGCCAGTTACATTCAACTATCAAGACATACTTCTGGTACTCAGTTTCTATGGTTACTTGCTTTTCACTTTTTTTGCAAACTTTTTACGTTTCTTTACACAAATCTAGAGCAACTCTTTAACTCCATATTGTTCATAGTTCCTTATTTTCTCAGTGCTCCATTTTTAATTGAACATTTACATACCGTACCAAAACCATCCAGCTAAAATTAGAAAGCAAATTTGTACAGATCCATTATTCTGAGCATTGCAGGAGCTCTGCCTGAGCTGGGAAAAAAAAAAAGGGGGGGATAGAAGACGCCTCCTCAAAAGCTCCGGCAGAAAGCAGGAACTAAAATGCTCTTTCTTCTTCTGTTGCTCAGACACCATATGCAAAAGGAAAAACTCATCACTCATTTGCTGACATTTTATCAGTAGTTTGTATATCTGCTCGATAATGGTTATTAATGCAGAAAGTATGATTCTGATCATGCTGAGGTCCTAACACAAGTGGAGCAAAAGAAATGGAGCAATTGAGGAATGCAACAACATCAGTAATGGCTGGTCTGCTAAATCTAGAACTCAGCAGAAGCTGGATATGCCAGATGCTACGTGCCATGCTATCAGCTAACTGGGGGAGCAGCCTTAGTACAAGGCAGGGGTTTCGGGATCCTCCTGATTTTGGAAACAATCAGGAGCTCCTAAAAAACAGCTCCTGCAGAGGCAGCCCCAACACTTATGCCTCTTGGGTAGCACTTCCAGTTCTCAAGACATTTTCTAAATAGTAAACTCAGCAGGATCCAGCAGCCACTGTATTTCGTGGTTTGCCCCTCAAATGTGTCATCCACATCTCTTCTTCCTCCTTTATTTGCAAGACTAATATGAATTAGATACAAAATGAATATTCTAAGCTTACTACTAAGCAGTTGCTCATCAATACAAATTGCTCATGTTATTCCATTAGTAATTTCTAGGCCTTTAGCAAGAAATTCTGATCAAGTGAAGTGATCCAGGACAGCTCCATCACTTACAATTTTTGAGAGTATCAACATTCTTTCACAAAACTGTTTTTGGCAATTTTTTTTTTCCAAAATCCATGTGTGTTGCTTGAAAACATGAGTGTGAGTTATTTTAGTCTAAAAGACCTCTCAACTTACCTCATTGTTGCCAAGTAGGATTGTTTTTCCCCTCGTTTTTACAGGACAGGTGTTTGCGATCTTTTAATCTGTTGGAAATTAAGCAGACTCCTTAACTGAAGATCAACAGTTATTCTACATGCTACCCAAGCATTCTTTTACAACATTCCTCTCAATTACTGAATTTGGCTACTGGAGTCAGGCCAATAGTACCAATAAAATTTTCTTTTCTGGATCATCCCATTCACACTGTCCTTCCAGTAAGCTTACTAGTTATGCTGTGCTAGAGCTTTTGTTCTTACCATCTAGTTTGGCAGCTTAGCACAAGGGAAAGCAAATGTGAGTATAAGTACAAAAAGGAAGTATGCACGAGATGCAAGACAGCAACTTATGAAACTGTGTCTGTTAAGGCTTCTAGGTTGTTGGAAGGATTTTTGGGTTTTTAAAACTAGTTAAACAAGAAAAGCAGTTTTTTATTTTTGATTTAGGAATGGTACTATGAAAGCTTAGAGAACAATAATTTGTTGAACTCACTCAATAACTGAACTTATGTGAAAGTTTTAAACAGTAATTTAAGTTGCATAAACGTGCTTCTTAAAAGTACAGAATTGCCCATTTGTGTGTACACCAATCTGAATATGCCCATGCATACAGGTCTTCCCAAATCTGAATTCAGTTCTTACCCCTAACTTATTTTGTGAGGCAGGAGAAGTCACTGAAGTTATTTCCAGAAGCTTAATCACTTGTTTTGGTTACTTCATTTTATGGATACAAGCAATCATGTCTGTCTTCTAAAAATTCTGAGTAGCAGTGGCTACTCAGCATTTCTGAGTTCCACCAGATCTAGATCATTTTTTTGTGCTTTTCAATAGGTGAATCTCAGATTCTCTTTCTTCTGATGCAGCCTAGACACAACAATACTTATCAAGAGGACTGTTATGATTAACTAGTTAAAATTTAAAAGCATGCTTAGGATGAATGTATAAATGTTGTTTATAGAGGCAAGGAGACTTCTTGGCTTTCTTGCATTTACTCAATTAAATACAAGGAGCTGTAATTATAAGTAAGAACACTCTTTTAATATACTCTTTAATTAAATCAAACGTCTGTACAAAACCTTTAAAGTTAGCATACTGGCACTTCCCAGTAAGAAAGTGCTGATCAGTTTTGCCAATTAAGTTATGCGATTGCAACACAAGATTGGCTTCTTAAAAGAATTCTTACAACGCCTCTGCAGAGAACACCTGGCGAAAATAACCCTATGTCAAAACAGCATTTTCATCCTCATTCCAAGAGGAGGCTTCTTGCGGGGGTTCCCTCTCGGCGAGCAGGCCCTGGCAGCAGCGCCTCACAGCACCGCCCGCAGCCCGGCCGGGGAAGCCATCGGCCCCCCCCGGGCACCCCCC